TAAATTGTTAAATTGTTAAATTGTTAAATTGTTAAATTGTTAAATTGTTAAATTGTTAAATTGTTAAATTGTTAAATTGTTAAATTGTTTAATTGTTAAATTGTTAAATTGTTAAATTGTTAAATTGTTAAATTGTTAAATTGTTAAATTGATAAATTGTTAAATTGTTAAATTGTTAAATTGTTAAATTTTTAAATTGATGGATTGTTGAATTGTTAAATTGTAAAATTGTTAAATTGTTTAATTGTTAAATTGTTAAATTGTTAAATTGTTAAATTGTTAAATTGTTAAATTGTTAAATTGTTAAATTGTTAAATTGTTAAATTGTTAAATTGTTAAATTGTTAAATTGTTAAATTGTTAAATTGTTAAATTGTTAAATTGTTAAATTGTTAAATTGTTAAATTGTTTAATTGTTAAATTTTTAAATTGTTAAATTGTTAAATTGTTAAATTGTTAAATTGTTAAATTGTTAAATTGTTAAATTGTTAAATTGTTAAATTGTTAAATTGTTAAATTGTTAAATTGTTAAATTGGTAAATTGTTAAATTGTTAAATTGTTAAATTGTTAAATTGTTAAATTGTTAAATTGTTAATTGTTAAATTGTTAAATGTTTAAATAGTTAAATTAATAAATTGTTAAATTGTTAAATTGTTAAATTGTTAAATTGTTAAATTGTTAAATTGTTAAATTGTTAAATTGTTACATTGTTAAATTGTTAAATTGTTAAATTGTTAAATTGTTTTTAAATTATTAAATTGTTAAATTGTTAAATTGTTAAATTGTTAAATTGTTAAATTGTTAAATTGTTAAATTGTTAAATTGTTAAATTGTTAAATTGTTAAATTGTTAAATTGTTTAATTGTTAAATTGTTAAATTGTTAAATTGTTTAATTGTTAAATTGTTAAATTGTTAAATTGTTAAATTGTTAAATTGTTAAATTGTTAAATTGTTAAATTGTTAAATTGTTAAATTGTTAAATTGTTAAATTGTTAAATTGTTAAATTGTTAAATTGTTAAATTGTTAAATTGTTACATTGTTAAATTGTTAAATTGTTAAATTGTTAAATTGTTTTTAAATTATTAAATTGTTAAATTGTTAAATTGTTAAATTGTTAAATTGTTAAATTGTTAAATTGTTAAATTGTTAAATGGTTAAATTGTTAAATTGTTAAATTGTTAAATTGTTAAATTGTTAAATTGTTAAATTGTTAAATTGTTAAATTGTTAAATTGTTAAATTGTTAAATTGTTTAATTGTTAAATTGTTAAATTGTTAAATTGTTAAATTGTTAAATTGTTAAATTGTTAAATTGTTAAATTGTTTAATTGTTAAATTGTTAAATTGTTTAATTGTTAAATTGTTAAATTGTTAAATTGTTAAATTGTTTAATTGTTTAGTTGTTAAATTCTAAAATTGTTAAATTGTTAATTTGCTAAATTGTTAAATTGTTAATTCGTTAAATTGTTAAGTTTTTAAATTGTTAAATTGTTAAATTGTTAAATTGTTAAATTGTTAAATTGTTAAATTGTTAAATTGTTTAATTGTTAAATTGTTAAATTGTTAAATTGTTAAATTGTTAAATTGTTAAATTGTTAAATTGTTAAATTGTTAAATTGTTAAATTTTTTAATTGTTAAATTGTTAAATCGGTAAACTGTTGAATTGTTAAATTGTTAAATTGTTAAATTGTTAAATTGTTAAATTGTTTAATTGTTAAAATGTTAAATTGTTAAACTGTTAAATTGTTAAACTGTTAAATTGTCAAATTGTTAAATTGTTAAATTGTTAAATTGTTAAATTGTTAAATTGTTAAATTTTTAAATTGTTTAATTGAAAAATTGTTAAATTGTTAAATTGTTAAATTGTTAAATTTTTAAATTGATGGATTGTTGAATTGTTAAATTGTTATATTTTTAAATTGTTAAATTGCCAAATTGTAAAATTTAGAAATTTCGCATTGTTAAAACTTTAAATTGTTAAATTGTTAAATTGTTAAATTGTTAAATTGTGAAATTGTTAAATTGTTAAATTGTTATATTTTTTAATTATTAAATTGTTAAGTTTTAAATTGTTAAATTGTTAAATTGTTAAATTGTTAAATTGTTAAATTGTTAAATTGTTAAATTGTTAAATTGTTAAATTGTTAAATTGTTAAATTGTTAAATTGTTAAATTGTTAAATTGTTAAATTGTTAAATTGTTAAATTGTTAAATTGTTAAATTGTTACATTGTTAAATTGTTAAATTGTTAAATTGTTAAATTGTTTTTAAATTATTAAATTGTTAAATTGTTAAATTGTTAAATTGTTAAATTGTTAAATTGTTAAATTGTTAAATTGTTAAATTGTTAAATTGTTAAATTGTTAAATTGTTAAATTGTTAAATTGTTAAATTGTTAAATTGTTAAATTGTTAAATTGTTTAATTGTTAAATTGTTAAATTGTTAAATTGTTAAATTGTTAAATTGTTAAATTGTTAAATTGTTAAATTGTTAAATTGTTAAATTGTTACATTGTTACATTGTCAAATTGTTAAATTGTTAAATTGTTAAATTGTTTTTAAATTATTAAATTGTTAAATTGTTAAATTGTTAAATTGTTAAATTGTTAAATTGTTAAATTGTTAAATGGTTAAATGGTTAAATTGTTAAATTGTTAAATTGTTAAATTGTTAAATTGTTAAATTGTTAAATTGTTTAATTGTTAAATTGTTAAATTGTTAAATTGTTAAATTGTTAAATTGTTAAATTGTTAAATTGTTAAATTGTTAAATTGTTAAATTGTTTAATTGTTAAATTGTTAAATTGTTAAATTGTTAAATTGTTAAATTGTTACATTGTTAAATTGTTAAATTGTTAAATTGTTAAATTGTTTTTAAATTATTAAATTGTTAAATTGTTAAATTGTTAAATTGTTAAATTGTTAAATTGTTAAATTGTTAAATTGTTAAATTGTTAAATTGTTAAATTGTTAAATTGTTAAATTGTTAAATTGTTAAATTGTTAAATTGTTAAATTGTTAAATTGTTAAATTGTTTAATTGTTAAATTGTTAAATTGTTAAATTGTTAAATTGTTAAATTGTTAAATTGTTAAATTGTTTTTAAATTATTAAATTGTTAAATTGTTAAATTGTTTAATTGTTAAATTGTTAAATTGTTTTTAAATTATTAAATTGTTAAATTGTTAAATTGTTAAATTGTTAAATTGTTAAATGGTTAAATTGTTAAATTGTTAAATTGTTAAATTGTTAAATTGTTAAATTGTTAAATTGTTAAATTGTTAAATTGTTTAATTGTTAAATTGTTAAATTGTTAAATTGTTAAATTGATAAATTGTTAAATTGTTAAATTGTTAAATTGTTAAATTGTTTAATTGTTAAATTGTTAAATTGTTAAATTGTTAAATTGTTAAATTGTTAAATTGTTAAATTGTTTAATTGTTAAATTGTTAAATTGTTAAATTGTTAAATTGTTAAATTGTTAAATTGTTAAATTGTTTAATTGTTTAGTTGTTAAATTCTAAAATTGTTAAATTGTTAATTTGCTAAATTGTTAAATTGTTAATTCGTTAAATTGTTAAGTTTTTAAATTGTTAAATTGTTAAATTGTTAAATTGTTAAATTGTTAAATTGTTAAATTGTTAAATTGTTAAATTGTTAAATTGTTTAATTGTTAAATTGTTAAATTGTTAAATTGTTAAATTGTTAAATTGTTAAATTGTTAAATTGTTAAATTGTTAAATTGTTAAATTTTTTAATTGTTAAATTGTTAAATCGGTAAACTGTTGAATTGTTAAATTGTTAAATTGTTAAATTGTTAAATTGTTAAAATGTTAAATTGTTAAACTGTTAAATTGTTAAACTGTTAAATTGTCAAATTGTTAAATTGTTAAATTGTTAAATTGTTAAATTGTTAAATTGTTAAATTTTTAAATTGTTTAATTGAAAAATTGTTAAATTGTTAAATTGTTAAATTGTTAAATTTTTAAATTGATGGATTGTTGAATTGTTAAATTGTTATATTTTTAAATTGTTAAATTGCCAAATTGTAAAATTTAGAAATTTCGCATTGTTAAAACTTTAAATTGTTAAATTGTTAAATTGTTAAATTGTTAAATTGTGAAATTGTTAAATTGTTAAATTGTTAAATTTTTTAATTATTAAATTGTTAAGTTTTAAATTGTTAAATTGTTAAATTGTTAAATTGTTAAATTGTTAAATTGTTAAATTGTTAAAATGTTAAATTGTTAAATTGTTAAATTGTTAAATTGTTAAATTGTTAAATTGTTAAATTGTTAAATTGTTAAATTGTTAAATTGTTAAATTGTTAAATTGTTAAATTGTTAAATTGTTAAATTGTTAAATTGTTAAATTGTTAAATTGTGAAATTGTTAAATTGTTAAATTGTTAAATTGTTAAATTTTTAAATTGTTAAATTGTTTAATTGTTTAATTGTTTAATTGTTAAATTGTTAAATTGTTAAATTGTTAAATTGTTAAATTGTTAAATTGTTAAATTGTTAAATTGTTTAATTGTTAAATTGTTAAATTGTTAAATTGTTAAATTATTAAATTGATAAATTGTCAAATTGTTAAATTGTGAAATTGTGAAATTGTCAATTGCTAAAATTTTAAATTTTTTAATTGATAAATTGTTAAATTATGAATTAATTAAACATTAAAATTGATAAATTAATAAACGATTTAATTGCAATTTGCGATTTTTTTTAAATTGTGAAATGATTGAACAGACCCTTCTGAGACATTTGCCGATTGCCATTTGCCACAGTAGGGTAAGCGTTCGCATTGTAATTCCAACCTACTTCAGTTCTTCGGCAGAGTCAAAAACCTTGCTCGCGGTATTTCCGAAGCAACCATCCCTTTAACGATTAACATTCACCAGTACGCTCGCGCAGTGCATTATTGACCTACGTTAACATATTCGATTAGAATTAATTTGAATTCAATGAGTTGATAGTACGCGTATCAAACAGCACTCGTAGTGTGCAGCTCAACTAGGGCGATTAATAGACACGATCGTCCAGTCCAATCATTCCAACTCCGCTGTACGGCTCGCATAGATCAGGATGGCGCTGGTGCTGAAGGCTCTCTACAACGGGTACGATCGGTACTTCTACGAGGCTCAGGGTAAAATTCATCTGTTAACAGTTTCTACGTTTCATTATCTGATCGATCATCTCTAATCCTAGATCCTCGAAATGCCGACCATTTTTTGCTTAACCCACCGTGGTTACCGTTTCTGGTGTTAGCTGGATACTTATACTTTGTTCTGGACTTGGGACCCAAGTTGATGGCCAACCGGAAGCCGTTTGATTTGAAGAAGCTGATCCAGGTTTACAATTTGCTGCAGGTGCTCGCGAATGTCTATCTGTTCGTTGCGGTTCGTACTGTCAGAATACTTGGTTGTGAGTGTATTGGTGAAGCCTTAAGTGTGATCTACCGTTTCAGGGAGTAAAAGTGATTATCGACATGGGAATCACATTAAAGTGTCAACCGGTGAACTATACCAACAGCCCGTTTGCTTTGCGAGAGCTCCGACTGGTGTACCTGTACTATCTACTCAAAGTGTCCGATCTGCTTGATACGGTTAGTACTATTCTTGCACAAAAGCACGTAATTAAATTGAACCTTTCGACCTTCGGTAGGTGTTCTTTGTGCTGCGTAAAAAGCAAAGTCACGTCTCGTTTCTGCACGTGTACCACCACGCCGGAATGGTGCTGGGGTCGTTCATTTACAATCGGTTCTTCCCCGGAGGTCACTTTTCGATGTTGGGGCTGTGCAATACCTTCGTCCACGCCATCATGTATTTCTACTTCTTCCTCACGATCTACCGGCCGGAGCTGACCAAGAATGCCAACTGGAAGAAGTACATCACCATCATGCAGATGGTGCAGTTCGGCTACCTGGTGTTCCACTTTGCGACGCCCATCGTGCTGGGAGTGGACTGTGGAATTCCCAAGTTCTGGCTGTGGCTACCGATGATCCAGAACGTTTTCATGATGGTGCTGTTTTCGGACTTTTATGCCAAGGCGTACGGCAGGCGGAAGGTGAAGTGAGGGAGCACGCGTGCCGGTGGCTATCCTGAGAGAAAATTTTCAAGTGGAAACATCGTTTTAAGGTCTGAATTGTTAATTGTTTCATCGCAATGCCAAGTAAAGTAGACACTCGAACGAGTTTTCCCCTGCCAAATATTATGATGTTGTTTTGTATCTTTTTTATGAAAATATTGAGAAACGATGTCGAAAATCCAAAAAAAAAGTAGAAGGGTCTGTGCCTAGGGGCACGAACGGAAGCTTGACGTAGGACCGCTAGTGGACGGAATATGTGAAGAGCATTAAGTTCTTTTAATTGATCAAACATCTATTATCTCAACTCTTTCCGTTTTTGAATTGAAGGCGTACCAAATTTGTAGTAATTTACGAGAATCAGTCAAAATCACTTGCACCCCTGCTTCCAAGTTTGTGTGGTCGTTGGGGGCTTGTGGTTCTGAATATGGACAAACAAGCACAGATAAATTCTGTCCCAACTCTTTACTGATGTAAGCTTGAAGGCCCCGAAAAGAGCCGTTTTATTGAAGAGGACATCCATGGCCACTTACGTTTGGCGTGTTTAGTGTAGGTGACAGCATCACGGACCTCATTTTCCAGGAACACCTTCAGCACACCTCGTAGATCAGACCGGAGATACGTCAGACACCGCCACGGCGAGCCAGACGACGGATGGTGGTTATCTTGAAGAATTTGTGATGACGATTGGCACCTCCTTTGCCACGACCAGTCAATTGTTGCTTGTGAGCAAGGTTGCAAAGACTCATTTCAGCTAAAACAATGTTTTTCTAAATTATTAAATAATTAGATGCCATGATCAAATTTTGAATTGGTAGGATACAAGAAGAGGTTGCAAAGAATGTGTTTGACATATTAAACCTGTTTATTTCACTTCTTGAGAGTCACAATCAGCGATTTTTCACAAACTCACTCACTCACTCACTCACTCACTCAGCGATCAGCAAATCGCTGATTGTGACTCATAGAAAGCAAAATTTACAGGTTTTATGTTTCCAACGCATACTTTGTAACCTCTTCTTGTAAGTTACAAGTAAAACATACCATCATACCATCTTTTGGTTTTATTATTCCGAAAAACATTATTTTAGCTGAAATGAGTCTTTGCAACCTTGCTTGTGAGGTTATAGAAAAGTGGACTAACCACCACCTTCCTACTGCTGCTATTGCTGACCACGCCGTCCGAAGCGAAAATGAGCTGATACCAGACTTGACTTAACTTGACTTAAAATGATCTTTATTTCTTGTGTTTGTGTGGTTTACATGTATGAATTTTTTAAGTGACACAGATGCGTCTTTTCAACTTTAGTACATTTGAGATTTTAATTATTATTTACAGTTCCTAGTCCTATCAGGCCTATTTTAAAGTATGACCACCTTGGTGGGATTGGTTTGATTTGAATTGGAAAAATGAGACTACTTATAACTACTATTTACAACTACAACTAACCTACAACTACTATGTACACCTAACCTACTATATACAAATTGCTTATCAAAGCATGTTCTGATAAATTACATTTTTGTGCAAATTTAGTCTTAATTTCGTTAATTTTGGAATCTATTTTGGCAATGCCTGCCTCTTCATGTAAATTTGTTATTCTAGTGTCGAAAGGACGATCAAGAACCATCCTCAGCACTCTATTCTGAGCGACCTGGATTTTGTTCCTGTGAGTCTGTGCACATGATTCCCACACCGGAGCTGCGTAGAGGATCGCAGGTGCTATGATTTGTTTGTAGACGGCCAGTTTGTTCACCTTTGAGAGGCGGGATCTGCGGCAAATCAGCGGAAACAGACACCTAACCAAGGTAAAACACTTGACTACAGTTTTCTCTACATGCGAACGGAAGAGGAGCTTTTCATCGAACAACATCCCGAGATAGGTTACTTCGGCGGACCACTCAACCCTTGTGCCATCCATGATTACAGTACAAGATGGAGCCGGTTTCAGTTTGGGCGATTGCCGATGGAGGAACATGATCGCTTGTGTTTTGGAGGCATTGATTTTGATTTTCCACGTGGTGGCATAATCAGCAAAGGCGTTAAGGCATCGTTGAAGTTTGTTCGTTATTTCGCGAGGCATCCTTCCTTTGACGGCTATTGCGGTATCATCTGCGAACAGGAAAAACACGCAACCGTCTCCAAGGGGAGGAATGTCGGAAGTGTAAATGCTGTAAAGCAAGGGGCCCAGCAGACTGCCTTGCGGGACTCCTGCTGGGATGGAAAACGTGTCTGAAAGACAACCATTCAACGATACCTTAAACGACCTTTGCTGAAGGTAGCTACGGGTGATTTTAACCAGATGTAATGGGAAGTTGAAGTTAGAAAGCTTGTACACAAGTCCGTCATGCCAAACATTGTCAAACGCCTTTTCAACGTCTAACAAGGCCATGGCTGTGGACTTGGATACAGCTTTGTTACTTTGGATGTTATTCATCACCCGTACTAGCTGGTGATTGGTAGAGTGCCCCTTTCTGAATCCAAACTGTTCCGGAAGGAGAATGTTATTTTCCTCCACAAACTTGAGCAAACGATTGAGAATGAGTTTCTCGAACAATTTGCTCAGCGCTGAAAGGAGGCTGATTGGTCTGTAGCTTGAAGACAATGTTGGATCCTTACCGGGTTTGCGGATTGGTATGATTTTTGCTACTTTCCAGATGCTTGGAAAGTAGTGCAGTTCCAAACATCTGTTGAAGATAGCGGTTAGAAGAGACTGCACTTTCATGCTGAGTCTCTTCAAGATCAAGTTGAATATACCGTCAAACCCGGGAGCCTTCATGTTCTTGGTGCATTTCAGTGCTGAGCAAATCTGTTGTACTGTAATCATATCCGCCGGAGGCACGACACAAGGGGAGGTATCTAGGTTTTGAACGCATTGCGCAACCTGATCATCGAGCGGACTTTGAATAGTCGAGCCAAGCAAATGCGATGAAGCTACATGCTCGCCGATCGCATTTGCTTTCTCCTGTGGGGTGATTAAAAGCCGATCGTCATCATTTTCGACTTTGAGAGGTGGAACGGGTTTGGGATGATTTTTCAGGACCTTGGCTACCTTCCAGAATGGTCTGGAGCGGTCATCCAGATTCTGGACAACACGCCCGAAACTTTCATTTCGGAGTGAGTCCATTCTGGAAGCAATCTGCCTATTCAGATCGGCCATTTCACGTTTTTTACCCAGGTCTCCAGTCCTCTGAAACTGGCGTCTACGAACATTTCTCAACCGAATCAGTAATTGGGTGTGGGAATCAATAGCAACAAACTTACCCCTCACAGGAACTTGTCGAACGTATGCCTCGTCAGCCATGGATATGGCCTGTTGGAGCCCTTCCAACGTCCGGTCGATGTCATCTACGGTGTTGAGCAGTGGATTTTCATCGATGTTGCTGTCCACCATTCGTCCGTACTGCACCCAGTTGACATGATGGTAGTCTTTACGCAGGCAGCTTCTAGCAGGAACCACGTTGACACCGACTTCAGTCACCACCGGTTGGTGGTCGGAGCTGAAATCGTTGTGCGCCTCCGGCTTGGATAGTCCGATGTTTGACAGGAAAAAGTCCAGCGTGGAGGGATTTCCCGCCGGAGAGATGAAAGTTGGTTCGTCCGGAAATTGCACAGTATACAATCCATGTTGTGCGTGGTCGAACAATAGACATCCGTTCCGGTTCCTCTGGTAGTTCCGCCAAGCTTCATGGCGGGCGTTCAGGTCGCCCCCAACGATGAATCGGGAGCTAGTACGGGTGATGGCGGTCAGGTCCTTCTTGAATTGGATTCCTAATCCGTTGCTTGCGGTACACTGGCGTGGGCAGTAAACAGCGATGAACCGGACGTTTCCAGTTGGTGATTCCACTTCCACACTAATGGCCTCGATGATAGAAGTGCCGATGTGGGGCAGAGTGCAAAACTTGATTCCCTTTCTGACGATGACCGCTACACCACCCCCCCTGGAGCTGGTGCGATCAAGCCGGATAATGTTGTGGTCAGGCAACCAGAAGCTGTCACCGGACTTTAGGTGGGTCTCAGTTAGAAGAACCACGTCGATGCTATGCTTGCGGAGGAAGTCGACAAGCTCAATATGTTTTGCTCTTACAGAGCAAGCGTTCCAGGTAGCGATGGTTAGCGGTTTAGACACCATACTGGATGATGAACTTACCGAGCACTTGGATCTGTTCGGGCTTATTGCGGCACTTACGTAGAGCACCGGTCATGTTGACGAAAATTTCCATCAGTTCATCCGCTGAGCTGATACCAGACAGCAGCGCTGTTTTATATCTTTTTAGGTGAAAGCAGAATGATGTGCAACCAACTGGTATAAAAGCTACAAAGACTCCTCCCATTATGAGTAGTTTGCTATCAAGTAGCGACACTGGCTATTTTCTTTTTGAGTACACGGCGAATGAGAACGACCCAAATTTGAGTTTAGTTCACTCATAATCGCCAAAAGTGTAGGAACTCAGCGATGAGTAAATTTGTCTCATGGTTTCCTGTGGAAAACCTAAAAAATCTGCCAGAAAATGAATAAATTGACGAAAATTTTATTAAGTCTCGGAGTAGTACCAATAGACTGAGTGAATCCAATTTTTTCTTTTCTCAAATTCGGGAATTTTTCCATGGAAAATCCTGGAAAAACCTGGGAAAACATGAGGCAAATTTACTCATCGCTGAGTTCCTGCATTTTATTTCTTAATTCTGAGATAACTAAACTCTAATTTGGATCGTTCCCATTCGCCGTGATAGATATTGACGCCAGTGGTTAGCGTGAGTACCTCTCACCCCAGCAGGCCTGGGTCTAATCTCAGTCGGTGCCACCGGCATGTTCTAAGGCATAACATCTCTGGGAGCTGCCTCCCTGACGTCAGTAGCATTGGAGCTCAGTACGTAAAACAAATCTCGCGTCACTTTTCAATAGGTCCTATATCCATTGATCGATTATCTTCATCGACACTCTCTTTCGTAAATAACTCGACTTCACAAAATGTTTCCTGCCGTCTTCGTCGAATTAGATGCTAGATTGTTCCTTCTTCCATCGAAAATATCCGGCCGTGGCGATTCAAAGTTGATCAAGGTTGATCAAAATTATT